AATATCATGAACGGTGGGAGATAGAATTCTATCCTGAGAACCCCGAACTGAGCGATTGAAGGGAAGCACTGGCAGATTTCTAGGTTCAGCTGATTCCACTCGGCCCTGAGGAATTGCATACGGTAGGCAGACGACGAAAAGCTCGAAGGATTCGTGCAAGTCATCGCAACAGAAACAGATCGTCGACCTTATTGGTCGTCAACAATGCCTACATGTAATCTTCATGTGCAGAACACGAAGACTGTCAAGCTGCACACCAGATTCAAGGATGGGGAGGGGAATGTCTGAGCGCTCCAGACACAGGCAGAAATCTGCAATAAACATTTTTGTGGTGTGTTTTAATGTCCCTGTGTCAGTCTGAGTTTGACGAAGCTGGGAGAGGTGTCGAAGAGCCTAGAATAGCCAGGTTCCTGTGTATCCGGGCGTTAAAAATGGCACTTTCATGGCAACAGGGCATAGGGACTAAAGCGATTGGGTTCCACCAAAAAGCACGGGCTTTCACACTACGTACTTTGAGCACCATAGTGTAGATCTCGTCGGCCAGAAATGGGTACGAGTACGAACTAATAGTGCCAAGAAAGTGCCATTAACGCCCAAAGGGATCTACAGAACCACCCTTGAGACACTGTGCTCTTTCCCTCCCTTTGGCACCTTAAAGTCTCGGCTCGCTGGGGTACAGTGTAGGTAGGCATTGGGGTTTTGAAGCGCCTCTTGGGCTGTTAATCATGCTAAATGTTCCACGGCAATTCCACGGCGAGTTTCTTTGGCAATGGATGATATCGCATGAATGGCTTCTTTAAGTTCTCGTAACATTTGGAACAAATGTCTGAGAGCACCTAGAATATTCGTATCGCATATGGTAAGGCCAAGCCACTGTCTCGCTTCCCCTTGCCAGTCGGTGTGAAGGCCAAGAAAGCCGCCACCGACAAGAGTCCGGTGTCTACGTAAGATGCGGAGCGGCATTGACCTTCCATTTAGCGTTTGCTTCTCTTTTAATATCTTTGGCACGAGGTCAAGAACGACCCCGGATTTTGGTGCTCGTATGAAGACAGCAGGTATCGTACCCAAGGTGGGGGCATCGACCGAAACACAAATAAACTGCGAATAAACTTTGCTCCAAAAAAGAGCCTAAAACAAAGTTTCACATTTTGACTCGTCAGCACAGGCGCATCCCGGCGAGAAAACCTTCTGCATTGACCAACTGCCGGCAGCGAGCCGCCGGCATCATAACCCCGACCCCAGCACATGATTGCACAGACCCGGGAGGTCGGATATTTCGCCGACTTGCATGATTGGGCTGAGAAAGGATCAGCAAGAGTGTCTTATGCTATTGGTGTCTCAGTACCATTGAGTGCTAAGCGACGAGCCAATCTCAACCGCCCATTGTGGTTTGGCACAAAACGGTGTCTGAGCAAGCCCAGGCCAACCCGGGTTTCTCGCTCCATGCTTCACGCGCCCGGACTTGCAGCTAACCCAACAATGGCTCAGATACCGAAGGTCGAGCGGCAGTTCACCCACCTGCCGCGCGCCCGTTTGCGCGTCTGCATGAAGAGAGGTCCAACACACCACGCAAAAATAAGGCAAGTGCTTTGCTTGTCAGGTCCGCGAGCGAATCCAAGACAAGGCTCGGGAGGAACCTTTCTTAGTGAACGTCCATGTGTTTCAACGGTTACGGAAAGCTATTTTCAGGCAGTCTAAGCCAGAATGCTGGGTTTTCGAGATGTCACGCGACTCAAGCATTATCATGGTTATCGTACCCAGCGGAGGCAGGGTGATTTCCACCTCGGTGGAGAGGGATGGCACCCAAAAGCAAAGTGCAAGTTATCGATCTCCTTCCTGCCACTCTGGGGATTCTTTGCACCCCACAATCACATTCCTGCTGTCCGGCGTGATCGGCCCCTGGGGAAACGGAATGGTGGCGTAGAATCAAGGAACCCGGCTCGGTGGCTTGAGTGGCTTAATAAGGAGATACAGCGCTCGGGCATACTCCAGGATGGCGCCAGTAAGAAAGTCTCACCGGGCCGCCGCAATTGGCAGACTTGGCGTCGCTCTGCCTCACCTCGATACTACTGCTTAAGCAGCCATGGGACGAGTTATAGTAGACTAGTCGCAACTTAGCAAAGTCCGCCAACTCGCATGTGCGCAAACCAAAAGAGATCTCAAATCAAAAGAGATCTCAAATCAAAAGAGATCTCAAATCAAAACCCCTGAAGCGGATGCTCCCGGCAGGCATCGTTTAAACATGTCAAAAATACCTAGTTTCTACAAGGGTCCTTCACCGGTGCGGTCCTTCACGTGTTGGGGTCGAAACAGGATTGACCGATTGTCAAGATCGTCAGCTAGGTAGTACTAGTCAGCGGGCAGCCTGCAGCGTGCAATCTCGAGTTTGAGGCTGCTCGAAGCGGGCAGTGAGGCTGCCATCCTTGCTGTATACGTGCCCCGTAACAGGCACGATGTGACAAGTGCAGGCCCACAACGCGCCGGGGCGCCATGAAACAGTGTGGAACATATTCTCCGCATCTTTGTTGATAAGTCTCTTTGCTCCCGATGTCATGGTTCCCTAGACGGCAATTCTGTTGTGTCTTTGTAGAGCTTTAGCCTTCCAGGCTTATGTCGCAACCCCCAAGACGGCAGCTCAGCATGGCGGTCAGCGTCAGCGACAATGGCATCAGCAATGACAGCGAGCTTACTAGCACCACTACTATTCTCATCTCCATCTTTGCTGCCATAGCCGTCTATGTATGTGCTTCATGGATTTTCCGGAACTTTTTGATGGCAGTCTACTGACCGACATGTGATTCCTCCGCGTTAGAATGTCGTCGAGCTGATCTTCATCATCTTTGCCACCTTCAAGAGGCGTGGCGGTCTCTATTTCTGGAGCTTCATGGTGGCTACCTGGGGCATCGCCGTCTACTCGATTGGACTTCTGACCAAATTCCTGCAGCTTTCCACCAACAATGTCTTGTACGTGACGCTGATCGTGGTCGGTTGGTGTTCCATGGTGACGGGCCAGTCGGTGGTGCTCTACTCGCGGCTGCACCTGCTCCTGCGCAATACGACCATCCTACGGGCCGTGCTTGTCATGATCATAGTCGACGCCGTCATCTGCCACATACCCATCAGCGTTATGGTGTACGGCGCCAACTCGAACAATCCCGAGCCCTTCGTCACGCCGTACTCGATCTACGAAAAGGTGCAGGTGACCATCTTCTTCATCCAGGAGCTCATCATCTCCGGCCTGTACATCTTCGAGACAGTCAAGCTGCTCCGGCTAGAAACCATGATCTTCGACCGCAAAAAGGGCCCCAACCTGCTGTTGCATCTGGTCATCGTCAACGTCATCATTGTCCTCCTCGACATCACCATTCTCGGGCTCGAGTACTCCGGGCTGTACGACATCCAGACAATCTACAAGGGTCTCGTCTACAGCGTTAAACTCAAGCTGGAGTTCAGCATCCTCAACCGCCTCGTCGAGCTGACCACGGCCCGCAACGGCAGCTCGTACACGCAGAGCGCCGAGCGGGGAGGAAACGCAGTCCAGCTCGAACCTATCGACGACCCCGACAAATTTACCGGAATAGCTTCTGGCAACAGCAACAACGGCAACAGCAGCAGGAGAGGAGGCATGGGCATGGGGTACCAGGCATCAATTCACACCGGGGGACGGAACAAGGACGGGGTGAACATGGAGGCGACCAACAACAAGAGCTCGGCAGTCTTCATGACAACAGAAGTGGTCGTTCAGCGGAGTAGTGCAAGTGCGGCCGATAGCGCGCCGGACATAGAAAGTGTTGACGACGGCACCTCGACCAAGTCGGCACAGGGTGGACGGAGTCGCAATGATGGCGCGCGGCCGGCGTTCTCCTCGTCGTCTCAGACAGAGCTATCCAAGACATGGTGCTGATCAGATGGCTCGTCCAAGTACCAGCACTTCTTTTTTTTTCTTTCTCTTTTTTTCTCTTTTTTTCACGTGTCTACCTTGGTATTTCCTTTTTTGTATCTAAGTTTGGGCTCGGTAAAAAAGGAGGATTGGAAGGCGGGCACAACATGGATGATGGAGACATGGGAGCTGGCGTTGTGGGTGATACGTTTGTTTCGTTTATTGTGAGAAGGTTCGCGGTTTTGAAGCTGAGCTGGAGCTCGCCTTGATTTCTTGCCTTAGACTCTTTAATCTTTGATTTTCGAGACCCTCTGATGTATGTATAGCGTCACCGATGCCTTCCCTGTTCCACCCTTCCATTACTGCCACTCCTCATCATTCGTGGCAAACTATGTGAGAGGTTCAGCTACCCGTAGGTACTTCGCTGCGGCAGAAATTAACATTGTATAGACGAAAATATTGTGCTCTTCTTTTACTTATGAATGAGATATAGCACCCGAGATTGTTGGGAGAGTGATCACAAGGTCGCTGAAGACATCTGACGTGCAGTGCTAGAAGAGAAAGCAACAAAGCACTGCACGGGAAGAGAACAGAACGGAACAAGGTTGGCGGTGACAATAAACAGAACTGGCAATGGCATGAAACCACATGTCAAGACAGATACTTTAGAAGACTGGCATCAGTGTGACTGTGCTGCAGGCACTGACAAGTAAAGTGAACGGCTTTATTAAGCTTTGCCTTGTCTGTCCGCGATCAAGTTGAGTGCGAAAATGACTAGCGAGTAGCGTGTACCTGACTCGCTCGGTTCATTTAGTCTTGTGTCCGAGTCAATTCCATCAAGATATGGTGGCGTTAGAGTGCATCATATCTGGATTCGATTATTTAGTCAAAGTGTGTTGGAGGCAGGCACACGGACCAGGTGTATTTTTATATCCCACTTGTTGATGATGAGGTACCGATAAGGGCGTTGTGAAGTATGAAGTGGGATGTTGTTAAAGGAAGGGAATGTAGAGTGAATGGCTCGGGACTGGATTCGGTGGTTATCATTGACAAAGACGTGAGACAACAGCAATGGTGCGCTACATGATTCACTTTTGTAGGACGGTGTCGCAACAAGCAAAGTCCCGTGGTGTAGTGGTTAGCACTTCGTTCTTATACCTTCACGAAAGTGGAAGATATGCGAAGGTCGTGGGTTCAATCCCCACCGGGACTAATTTTTAGCCGCGATATCCCGACGCTCTTTTTTTATCTCTATTCTGCGGCCGTGCGACTTGTCCGACTGCGAGGCGAGGCATACGTTACACGGAACCGTAATTCGGCTTTGTTTGCACTTAAAACCCGTCAACGAGAGTTGAAGAGAATTCAATCGATTAATTATTTCGCTGAACTTTGTCTAACAAACTCGACAAACGAGGATGGTGGCCTGTGCGCCACCCACAACTTATTCACCTTGACATCGACGCATCTGCAGAAGAATGATAACTGTTTGAGCCTTGTTTGTCATGCATGTGTAAATGTTGTGCAGGTGAATGAGTTCTAGATTTTATGGGGCAGGTTTAAGTGTGCCTCAACCTCGAGACTTGTACGGAGTAGGCGTCTAATTATAGCCAAGCACATGGGGTTATGCTGGGGACGGCAACTTCGAGGAAATAGCTTGATATAGCAGGATAAGCTCAATTTAGCCTGACAGTCTCGCGTACTGGTGCAATACCGGCTTTTAGCCTATCCGGACGTTTCCACATCGGGCGAAGATCATGGAGAACCAAGAACACGTTCCTATGGTTTTCCTGCATTCTCGCTGTCTGTCTTACGTCGAAGCCAGCAATGCCATGGGCTGTGCCTTTCTCTTGGCTTCCTGTTGAGCCACAGACTAGGTGGCAGCCCAGATGCGCTATGTAGATCACCCGTCCCAAGTTTTCAGTTTCGTTCTTCTGGATCTAGTCGATCTGTTGATCGTCTCACCGCTGAGTCGAGCCGGAAAAAAAAGAGGCGAAAAAAAGTCATGGACTCATGCGGTACAAAGCAGGCGGTAAACAGATTCATCAATCCTTTATTCCGGAAGCCGATCTCACTTGCATTTGGACGTAGGGACCTGTCTTGATATGGGTAAATAGAAATGCGCAAGTTGTTAGTGTACGGCCAGAATTTCAGCGCGGATCCAAGTACCTCGTCCTGCCGGCTCACTAACGACATGGAATGGATCCATGAGCCGCCCGTTATCAGCACGGTGTCTTTTGTATAAAAATGGCTGGTCCGAGGATGGAGCGACTGCAAGGGAACTGGCGTTCGGCACTGCCCTGTAATTTGATGAGGTCGGGGAGTGTCGCTTATTAAAAAGGAATGCCCACCTGCGCAGCGAGCCGTGCTTTGCCTGCCCTGCCAATAACGATGCCCTGCGCAGGCTCTCACTCGAGGCAGCGGAGAAAACGCCATCCGGCTATTTGCCCCGAACACAACCCCCTCGCGTTCATGAACGGCAGTAAATTGGAGCAAAGGTCACGTTTCTTGCGCAACTTTCGGGCGTCGCGTCTCAAGCGAAGGGTTGTAGGCGGTCCTTTATTGCATGATAGTTCGATTCATCTAAATATGAAGCCAATGCAAGCCGGCGACAGCCACCACCTCTGTCGCCAGCCCGCCTTCAAAACGGCTAGTCTGCTGATGGCTGCGGGCGTAGGCACGTGGATGGACCTACACAGTAAGGCAACCTTTTTATCTCATCCGTTTTCTCCAGCCCTCTTGCCTAGTATTCCATTCGGGTGGGCACTTTCCTTATCAAATATGAATTGCCGCCAAGCATTCCTGTTTCTCCCGTTTCTTCCTTTTCTCTCTTTTTGAGGCCACCTCATTTTTAGCCCCTCGGCTAGAAAGCCATCCATCTTCATTCTATACATATATTCTGCCTGCCACACAGGTACGTATCCCCCGCCCCCGCCCCCGGCCAAGGCCGGGTCAAGTCCGGGCGATTGATTGCAGAGCAATCTAGATGGAATTGACGTCAATTGAGCTGATTCGTGTTTCGTAGGCGGGCCAAGGCAATCTGGCGCGACACGAGTTGACCCGGAGCTGATTTGCTACGCACCTGGTTTACTTCATCGTCATAGCGAGCGGGTGCGACACAACTGCCGCGCAGCTCCAGCATATGCATCCGGGACAGCGGGAACCGTGGAGAAGAGGTCCTTCACCCCGGGGAGCGCGAGTTCTGCGGGTTTGTTGCGACCCCCGACCTGCCCCTTCCCCCATCCGCTCAAAAGGCCGAGGCATTCCCCTGGCGCCTGTGTCCCCGGCTTCCACTAGTCTGGTTCCACGATGCACAGCCGTCCAGCAGCCACGTTGCACCCTCCTCTATGTCGAATCTTCAACATCGAGCGATCCAAGATGAGGGACCCGGCTCGGCCATGCACGACGATGGAACACCTGTCAGCCACCCGCAGCAGGCCTCCGTGGACCACTGCATCTCATGTCCGTGAGTGCCATTCCTGAGCCAAGTAGAAGGAGGCATTCTTCCAGGATGAAGAGAAGAATTCCTTGTGAAAGCGACAGTGTCGGCGAGGCTAACAGCAGCAAGATACGAGGATAAAATCGTCACCAATGGCACCACGGCCCGTATGGTGCTCATGTTCCTGCGCGACCTCGTCGAGCAGCCGACCATGTACGCGCAGTTTCCCCAGACGTATGGCTGCCCGATGATGAAGTGCTACCAGACTTTTGCGGAGCCGCTGCAGCTTGTGCAGCATCTTTTGTCCTGCTCTGAGCTTCCTAACGGCGAGTTTGACTGCGACAAATGCAACAACTGGCATGAGTTTCCGACCAACGAGAAGGACTGGGCGCAGTGGACGGGCTGGAAGTCACCACAACGCACTGCACAAGGAGTCAGCGGCAGCGGCGCCGGCGCCGGCGTTACTCGCAGACGAAGTCTGGGGTCTAAGATGAGAGACGCCTTTGCTCTTCGTCGCAAGGAATCTCGCAACCCCATGCCGATGCCGACCTCGCAGCCCCATCTCGACCACAGCTTCTCTCCACTCGAGATGAGGCCAGGCACAGCAGCGACAGAGGCCCCTAGAGATGTCGCTGTGTCGAGTGAATGCCCAGGCCCCGTGCGCCCAAACCAAATCGCGTTCCCCGGACACGAAAGCATCTCGGCTGCTTTTTCAGATCAGCACCCAAAGGCGGCGCTGATCTCGGGCTGCACCCCGGAAGTTGACGACCGGGTTATGTACTGGCAAGGGCTTAACGCGGAGATGTGCGAGCTGCAGTCGGCAATATCTTCGATTGCTCCTTCGTCGACATTTGAAACGAGTAGCCTCTCTCAAGCCGCGTCGACCAACACCTCGCGAACCACTCTGTTTGCACCAAGTGTAGTTGGTCAATATCACCAATCCCCTTCCCCCTCGACCCAGGGGTCAAGCACCACAACCATGACCCCACAGCAATACATGTTCTCTCCGCAGTCGACGTTCGACTGCAACGGGCCAGGAACAATAGAAGGTAATCCGGAACCCTCGTCCGCAATGTCTCTTGATGAGCCGCTCACGACGCTCAACGAGCCGGCATTATCGCATCAGTCCCCGGCAGAACTACGGCCGCCGACGGCAGGCGAGACTCTTCATCAGTGGTGGGGGCCAAGGCCAACCGCTACGGACACGCCCAGTGCTCGGTTAGCCACCGTCTCACCACCTGGGACTACACACGACTGCTTTCCTATGCATTCCCCAATGGGCGGTGGGGTTTTATCCAGAGGCGTGGTTGCTGTCGGTGATGGCTTGTCTAGTCAGTTGTCTAGCCCCGGCGGCGGCAGTAGCATCGGCAGCAGCCGCCCGCGACAGCCTGGGTCTCCATTAGTCGAGTCTCCATTCAACTTCCATGTGCACTATCAAGTACCCTCCAGCCACCATCCCATGTCTCGCCACTTGAGTCAAGATGCATCACTTGTGGATGCTTGTATTTCAAGTGGCTTATACGAACTAGCGGCGGCTCCTGGAGCAGGCCACGGAAACTCCCAAATCGGGATTGCCATGTCGTCCCCTCATGGCCATGCTACTACTCCCGGGGACCATCACCACCACGCTCACGTTCATCGGGGCACTCTTGCCATGCATTCGAAGTCGACAATGGCATTTCTCGAGAGACTCCAGTCGCCCATGAGCGACGATGAGCTGGTTTGCGATGAGTGTCAGTGGAAACCGCGCGGCGTGAGGGAAAACCTCAAGGGATACCTACGCAAGCACAAAAACACGCACAAAGGCCTGAGGCTGGCCTGCGATGTGGACGGTTGTACCAAGACTTTCAGCCGGCTTGACAACCTCAAGAAGCACAAAAAGGACAAGCACGGAATCGACGATACCACGACTCCCACAACCGGAAGCAGTGTTCTCCCGTCGAAGCGAGTTGCCGACAGTGACTTGTGCGGAGTCCGTAATATCGAAGACATGGAAAACGCCCCTCCCAAACGGCCTGACACGAGCTCCAGTAACTCTGAGGTCCGCGGGGTGTCGGGCGATTATTCCATGCTGTGGCCAGCGCTGCATTTATAACATCCCAATATACAATACGAATCTCGTCATTGAAGATTTCCTCTTTCGTGGGTGGGCCGGTGCTGCTGCCGCTTTAACCTGTGTAGCGGGTGTGCTTGAGTGTGCAAGGTGTGCTGACTGTGGCGCAGTCCGGGAGCCTTATTCTGCCACATAGGTTATAGTTGCCGCATAGTAAAAACATAGAACTAAAGCTTACAGGGATGCTTTTCGAGACTACATGCACAACGGCTCGTAGATTCAACCTCTCTTTTCTTCAATTTTCTGTTGCTGTGACATGTGATGATTTGCTCCTGCCTTTGTGTTGATTTTTGTTCTAGAGAACCGTTTTCCGAGTTTGTCCGATTGCATTCATTCTTTCCTAAGAGCGATGCAAGACTGGCGAGCCTAAGCTCACGAAGGAAGAGAAACTGGGAGCAGGTGGCGGTGTCGAAGTTGCCGGTTTAGTCCTGGGTTTAGCCGATCTTGCCATGATGCAAGCTCACGGACGCGAGAATGATTCCCTCCTCGGCTACCAACTGGTATTACGTGCGCCGAAAACGCCAATACAATGTAACGCATGAACACGCCATACCCAAAATGGCGAGTGCCGGTGACGGCGAGAGTGGAGGAGAGAATGCATGAAATTGAAGAAGTGTTGACACGACCGGGCGCAGGGGAGTGCCGACCCAAGACGTTGAAGGAA